ACACTTTTTTTACTGTGTTCGCACAACGTATGCCACTATGTATCGCACAGAGGTAATATGCGATTGCCCGCGCACGCGAGTTCAAATCGAGCGAAAGAGAGACTTCGCTTCGCTCCGCTCCGCTCTGCGTTCTTGAGTTTTTAGTTACTTAATCTATTTGGTTGTTTCACAACAAACTTTTTTTTTGGCGCACTACATGCAAAGTATTTCATCAAAGTAACTTTGAAGTAATATATTTATTTGCAAAATGATTTACAAGATCTTGGTTTTATTTCTTTTTTGAAATATACTGCATTTGGTTTAAATTAAATAAATAATATTTGCATAGAATCTAAAATCACTTTAATTCTGTTCAAGACTCAGAAAATATTATACGAAAAATTAATGTAATTTTTAGACAACATTTGATAATAAAAATTTGATTGGCGCTTTGAGATATTGTGCACTTATTTGTCGTTAGTGCACCTGTTTTAAATTAAATAAAAACTGTGAGCATAAAATTCAAATTCACCATAATTTGTTTCAACACTCAAAAAGTATTAAGAAAAAAAAAGAAGCATATTAGTAGCTCTACATTACATGTAGTGCTAAAAATGTGAAGAAAAAAAGGTAAACTAAAATACAGATAATATCGATAAATGAAATGACTTTGGGTCGAAGATTTAATATGAACTGGTAGAAAAAAAAATGCAGCATATATGTGCTGAAAAAAAGTGTCTTGGTGTGATTTACTGGTACTTTGAAAAGCTGAGCATTGAAAATTGAAAAATAAAAATAGAATTGCGATTTCGTGGTTAAATGAGTATTTTTTTTTCTTCATTCGGCCACTCTTCAGTGACTATGTAAAGAACATCGAGAATGGCTGCGAATAACGAGCTACTGCCACACATCTGAGAGTAATATCATTGTAGTTTGCAGTTACATTTCGAGCGACATCGTCATATAGTACTAAGGTAAGCGGAAGGAATAAAAAAAAAACTAGCTGGAATTCTAGCCACAGAGGGATGATTCTCTGGTCTTCTAATCAGCACGTAGGCAATGGTACATTCTTTATGCCCGAGAGATAATGATCGATCTCTTCAGAGTACGTGCACAAACAAAATCGCGCGCGCTGAACAAAATTTACGCGCACAACGAATCGGTTGGCATTGGCATCGTTAGTTTGGATCATACGGTACGAAATGGACGTGACTCGAGAGTACAAGACCAGGGCCCCGCATTTATACATACTGTGTCCAGTGTATGGGGTGTGAGTATTTGTATCGGTATTGTTATCTGAAGAAAATTACAGTAATGCGGCTTTTGTGTGTTTGAACGACTATGGCCATTTGTGGTTTGTTTACAATTTGATTTGCTGCAATTTTCAAGCCCGAAAAAAATAATGTTTGTGCTGTTGTTATGATTGTTGATGCTTGTTGTAGTTGCTTTTGTTGCTCTCTCATTCATTTCGTACAAATGTATTATTAGCGATCATTGTTATTATAACTATTTTATCGATAAGTGTATAACCATTTCACTTGAGCCATCTCCAGTTCTTTGACTTTGGTAGGCGAGATATTGTCAAACGTTCTTTTTTTCACTGTTTCAATAGGGACGTTTGCTTTTCTTTTTATTTTCGGCCTTCGTCCGAGACATATTCTTGAAAACGTATGTGTGTGGCTTAAGAAAGTACAAATTGTGTACGCGATAGAGCTGGGAACGATTATTATCTTCGCCAAAGTGAAGACGAAACAAATTTTTCTTAGAAGTTTATGTATTGTGTCTTGTTCTTTCGTCCATTCTCATTCCCGGTGTCTCAGTTTTTTTTCTCTCCAACCATCTTTCAGTATATGAAGAACTCGTGAGCGCGCGACGAGCCGGTTGATTCCAATGTGTTTCTTTTTTGTTCTTTTTGGTTTTTCGAATTTAAACAAAGAAAAAAAAAAACAGCAACAAAATATGTGAACATTTTCACATCGTCAACACCAACAACCAACAACAATGATTTTTCAGCGAAATTGTAATAATAATTTTTGTATGTTTGAAGGAAACAGTTTTCAAGTTATAATTAAGCGAGTCTGAACCAGTTTGGCCCGACCATCGTTCGTTTGTTCGGCAAAGAGCTTAAGTAAATTCAACTTGATTTTTTTTTCATTCGTTCTTCTTCATTTGGTATATGTGTGTGTGTGTGTGTGTATTTATCGTGTGTATGTGATTCGGTTTGGAACATGTACAAAATAGAATTTGCAATTATTATCGTCGTAACAAGTAAATATTAATGCGTATTAAGCATATTAAGCATATTTTCTTCTGTATCATCAATGCCAAGAATATGAATGCTACGCGAACGAAATAAAAAGAGACAACAGCACAGCACAGTACGGCACACGTAGGAATGAGATTAACATAGGAAACATAAATATTCAGTAGAAAATAATTTTCATTTAAATTCTCGTTTTTGCCCATTTTTATCAATTTATTTCAGTGCTTTCCATTCATTGGCCATTGTGTTTTTGCTATTGCAATTTTCGTCCGTTTCTATTTACTTTAATCCAAAAGCCGAGTGTGAATCAAAAGACACACACACCAAAGCAAAAAGAGAATTCAAAATCGAAAAAAAAAAACAAATTAAAAGAAAAAGAAGCAGGAGGAAGGCATCAGGAATCGGCCAAATGTACAATGTGCTGCATTCAATCCAAACACACAATATAATGAATCTCTTTATATGTTTTCTTTCGATTCATTCCTTGCGTTTTTTTTTCATTGATTTATTTGTGTATAAATTTATTTATGTTTATTGTAAAAAAACCACCTCTTTTTGAATATATATATATATATATATGTGTATATGCAGCAATTGCACAAATCTTTCTCTCTGTCTCTGCTGCTGTGGCCAAAGTTGTTGTTATTTGCCATTTCGATTTGTGTTCAGCGCACTGTGTGTACTGTGCTCTCGGTGCTCTGTGTGCTCCGCGTTAAAACCATTTTGCACGTTAGCACTGGTTAGCGCTATAATTGTTGTAATTCGCGAGTGGAATTGATAAATTGAGATTCATATGCCACGGTACGCATTGAACATTGGACGCTCTATCAAAAAGACGCAACAGAGCACCAGCAGCAGCCACATATAACAAACGCCGTTTCCTTATTATTTGTTTTCATGTTCCTCTTCTGTTTGTATTGCGCCTCGCCAAAGATTTTCTTTTTTCAATTTAAGTACTAACTTTTGTCTCTTCTCTCGCACTCTCTCTCTCTCTCCCTCTCTCTCTCTCGTTCTGCGTCGTGCGCAGCGCTAGGTCAGTTTCTTGGCAATAAGAAAGCGCGTACTGTATGTAAATGAATAAGTGCAACAGCAACGATACACAACCATTTTAATAGCTTTTGGAATTCATACTGTTTATTTTAATTGTGTGTAGTTTTTTTCTGTTTCTTTCTTTTTTTTATAACCATTGTTACATTACCAGCCCAGTACATGAAATTTGTGTGTGTGCCTGTGTCTGTCTGTTCGTTTACTCAATTTTAATTGTGCATTGTCCCTTGTTCCAACCGATAGAAACGATAACTTATTTCACCATATCCGAGAAACTATTTTTCCAAAAAAAAAAAAAACGCATGCACACATTCTATCTCTTTGGCACACCCAAAAATGGCATTGAGATGTTTTGGAATTGCTCAAATTGAATTATTATCGATGTCGCATAATAAAAGTCTCGACATTGAATTGATTCAATTGAAATGTTTAATTGAATCTGCGCGCGCGATTGGTCGATGTACTTGATTCATACAAAATATTCCCACCAATGATTTATCCGACGCTGTTTTGTCCCTTTTCAAAGATTCACTACATTTTTTCGTGTTGGCGAAGATTCTTGGCCAAAGAAAGTTCTGAACCTTTTAAGCGGTGTGTAATCCCTGCGCCCGTATGGAATCCAGGAACGAAAATAGAAATGAGAAAAAAAAACCATTTAAAGCCAATTTAGCATCGTAGGATGTGTTATTTTACACGGTTCCATTGCATAAAAAATGTAACAGATCTACCACGAATGTGGCAAATGTTCTGCGCTACGCTTTTTTCTCACTATTCATGCTTGTGCCGAAAGACAATTCAGTTAATAGTACAAAATATTCTTACGATGGAACAACTCTCGAGCTATGCCGATTATTTTCACTGGAGGTTTTCTTTGTTGAATGTGTTGCCATTTGTCGAGCAAACACGACAAAATCATTTAGAATACAAGGCCTGTAGTCGCCTATTTTCTTTTTATTTTACCGTTTTGTAAAGTCAAACACGATACGGCTGGAGCACACACCAAAAAAAAAATAAGGTGTTTTCTGGACACTGTTCTGTACCGAACACACTTCTTCATGCTCACATATTCAGTCTGCGTGATGCTAGCTCTGGCTGATCAGAAGACGATCATATTGACAGAGGGACACTCTCAACCGATTCAGGCGATAACCATTATCGCAGTTTGCAAATTAAATTCATGTAATTAAATTTATTGGATCTTGCTCGTGTTGTTGTTTTTTCGGACCGATACTAAATTCGAAGATTATTTGCTTTGCATGCGTAAACAAACATATTGGCTCTTTTGCCCTCTCTCTCTCTCTCTCTCTCTCTCTTTCTGTCTTTCAGCGGAGAGTGGATGTTTTCTTCAAACTTTAACTACTTCCATTTTTACTACTATTTTGGCTACTTATTCTGATGTTTTGTTTTGTTGGATGTAAATAGTCTACATGTTTTCTCTTGTTCTCTTTTGGTTTTTCTTTTATCAGAGATCAACCGGAGAGTTTTGTTCTATTCAACTGGGAAATAGTTTATACTCTCTATTAATTCATAGAAAAAATTCTTTCTTGCGCGTACCAAGTTTGATCTAATCATGTTATCAATTCACAAATCACAGTCTGTTGAATTATATGAGAATGAATAATTTTCCATGACGTCATTTTTATTCTGATTAACAAGAGAAGTAATAACTCATACAAATGAATTGATGAATGTTTATAAAAATCGTACATACCGTTCGTTAGTGGTGAGATTTTCACAGGAGAACAGAGCGATTAATTAAAAAAAAAAACGGTTGTAAATTGCAATGATCACTTTGCCAATATTTTTCTCTGATTTTATCAATCACAAAAAAAATGTTTTTATTCTCAGTTTTTCCTTCTTTTTTTTTCTTCGTCAGACTGTTTTTTAAAGTCATGCAAAAATTGCCGGTATTTGTGTACCAATGTCGAAATTATAATCTCAATGATAATTTTTTTTCACTCAATTTTCGTTTAACTCATGAATCTTATCAATTGCATTAGTGTTTAATTTTGCGGGAGAATTCATTAATGTTGCAACAAAATGAAAGTAATTTTAAGTAATACAATGATAACAACAAGAACAACAACAACAGTAACGAAAAAAAAAAATCACTCGTAAAATGCACCGAAATCAGAAGCAAACAAAAAATGTTTTCAAAAACGAATTTCACTTGGTCGCTTAACCGTCAGGATGTATTACAAGTTGATGAGTGCAAGTGATGTGCGTTGACGACAATTGAAAAGGATTGATCGACCGAAACAACAATCGTTCAACCTCTCATAGAAATTCTATCGCCTTGCAACCCAGAATTGTTAACAGCACGCTCGTCCGAAAGAGATGTGTCACAATAACAATGTGTGTTGTACTAGTTGAATCGGATTTGATTGGATTGGTTTTTTTGTGGTGTGTGCACACGTCCGTTCGAGTCGGTTGCCTTAAACAGACTTCAAGCTCGGGCTACCATACAGATTGTGTATTGTGTGTGTCGGTCGGTCGTTTGTTCATTCGTTTGCTGTTGGTTGGGACGATTCTGAGCGCGTTTGCTGTAAGTATAGTATATGAACACACAGCAAACCAGCAAAACACGGCCGATAGACAAAATGAGTTCCAGTAAACACATTTTATCGGCGCAATCGGGCTTATGTGTACGAGACGAAAGGAAATAGCATGACATCGACTTGTAGATTCGGCAGAAAATGAAGGGGAAAACGAGACAACGCAACAACGATTCGAAAGAGTAGAAGAAGGAACAGAGAGAAAGAGAGAGAAAGAGAGAGAAATTGGAATACGAAAAACCGTACACACATGAGTATAACACTGGCCAAGACAAAGCAACCAGCTAATGTAGCAGATAGATAAAGTTAAAGTCGTACGGAGAGTGGTGGTGGTGGTGGTGCTGTTGCTGCCGCCGTCACACTGTTTGTGCTCGGCTATCCGTGTGTTATACTGTTGCTCATGCGGCTGCTGCTTCTCGAAAATGATGTGAAATACTCAAATATTATTATGCATTCATAAGCCATAGTCAGGGAATACTATGGGATATTTTTATTCAAATGGGATAGAAATATCGCAAAAAAAATATCCGATATTTTTCGCGCGTTGTGTTCAGTGTAATGAATGAAGTGTAATATGAAGAGTATAACGAAAATCACGTGTGGGTACAGAACCGCTGTTTTTTCGTTATACTCTTCACGCTGGCAACGATGACGATGAATGCAGATGCACGTACATGTCTCGCTCATTTCTTCTTCTTTCAACTCTCTTCGTGCTTTGTTTATGCATTACACGGAACGCAACGCGCAAAAAATATCAGATATTATAGTGATTTATGCGATATTTCTATCCCACCTGAATGAAAATATCCCATAGTATTCTCTGGCCAAAGCTAAACACACCTTCTTACACGCATGCACTGCTGTTGCTGCCGCAACACAGCACCGAGCCACACAGAACACTTCGACTCCTTTATTGTTAATAAATCGAAATGTTAAAACAATGAAAAAATATACAAAAAATAAAAAAGAATCGAAAATAAATATTAAAACAACAAAGGAAAAAAAGAGATCGTATTAACGAAAAAGAAGAAAACAGATTGAAGAAACACGAAACGAAACTAAACCTATCTCGAATCTTTAACGAAGAACACATGTGGGAGCCATGTATGGTTACTAATAACGAATATTATGATAGTATATGGTGGCTCGGTCATTTGTGTGTGTGTGCCAGTTGCCCGTTTGCATTGTGTGGCACAAATAGTACGCGGTAAGTCACCGCCGTTTGCCAAACGTTCTATTTGTGATTGCATCTTGGAGACACCAAAACCGTTCAAACAGCGATTCATTGCAGCTCTTTTTTCCTCTCTTTTTTTTTTCCTCATGTGCATTTAGACGTGGGCTGCCCTAATGCATATCATTGCACAATTGATAGGAGTGAAAGAACTGTTGGCGATTCTGTGATCACCGAAGAGATGTTATTAGTTCGAGACAGGAGGCTGCAACATTGACTTCTTTCCATACTAATTTGACGTTTGTCAGTGATGAACGATTTTGCAGTGCCATCTGCACATATTTGACTATTCAAAGTGAACTAGCTGTTATCAGTAATGATGAGTCATTGATGTTCAATTTTAGGTCATAAACGGCACTTTTGCAATTTTCAATGTACCGTTAATGACCCAAAATTGAGCATCGATGACTCATCGATACTGATGACAGCTAGTTCACTTTGAATAGTCAAATATGTGCAGATGGCGCTTTTCGTATTTGAGGTGATACGTTGCAGCTGCCCGGTTCGAGAACACGCGTGCTGTGAAAGTATATTATTTTCGTTAATCAACTAATGCACAAAACAAATATAAAGTTCACAACAATATGTTTTAAAATGCATAAGTTTGCAGCAAGACGAAAAAAGCATTCAAATTGTCAT